AGTTCGCGATGAAGCCGGGCGTCTTTCGAACGTCATAGTGTTCGTGTTAAGATTCACGCTGACAAAGAATGAACCGACACACGCAATTTAGATAAATTATAATTATAACGCGGCGTAGTAAATATAATGTAGTAAATAAAGTTTCTAAGTATCTCTCAGCATTCCCGAAAATAATAAAGGAGAGAAACAATGGTGGACGCTGAATATTAGTCGAAAATTAGCATAGTTTAAAACGCGCGAATAGATAAGCTGCTTTGTTTTATCTGATGTGAACAAATTGGAGGTATCATTCTTTGATAGGTGATATGCGGCTTAATTTAATTCTGATTGCAGCATATCGATAAATTTATTTCTGATGTTATTCTATGAGAAAAAAAAATTTGATCGACAACTCGGGAATTTTTACTATATTCCGCTTTGGTGTAAATAAATAACAGAATCGCGAAAAAAGTTAAACGTGGATGATAAAAATATAATAATGATAAATGAATATTCCTTTATTTGTGTCCGTCAATATCAATAGAGTAAAAATTTTCAACAATTAATTGACGAAGATAAAATTCTGTGATAAATTAGAATTGCAAGGGATAAATCGCGAATTTTATTTCTGAAAGAATATTAATGAATTTATCGATATGCTGCACGATAAGGAAGAGTCGTGGGGAAATTTAACAAAATGTCGATGTCTTTCCAGTAAATTTCTCTGTGGATTTAGACTATAGTCTCTTTGTAGACTTTAGAAATATTCTTATAAATCGTTTAATTATGGCAAAATGTCAAATCAAACTTAATATTTTTTTTCGTTGAATTTTTTGCAAAATTATAATTCTTAATTATAAAAAATTCTAATTATAAAAATTATAATTTTTCAAGCTTTTCAAGCAACATTCATGTATTATAAATAGCCTTATGAACTAGAAACGAGTTTTAATATAATATTACAGTAAATATTACTGTTACTGTCGAGAAAATCAGATATTAATTATTTATTTTATTAAATTAAATTACATTCGACAAGTAATAATATAATAATCTATTTAATATTTAATAATCTACATTTATATATGAGTGCAATTTACAAATGCATTTATAGAATCAGTAAATATTTGTGTCGTGTTCGTAATAACTTTTTCCATTCCTGCAACATCTTAGCTGTTCTCCTTTTATTATCAGAATATTATTGTTAATATTTTAGAAATTTACTGCAAATACATACATTCGTATGAAACAGTATTAAAAAAGATACTTTGCAATACGCAAGAAATTCTAATAATATTTCTCGAAAGTCAGACACAACGAGAATGATAACGGTATACTGTCAATAGTATTTCATTGAATATCGTTCACAACAATGACGCAAAAGTAGCTAATTATTGTCGTTTTTATCCATGATATTGTCAATATTGTCTTTCTGAAATTAATATAACTAACGTTTCCTTGGGACAATCTTCCAACCTTTCTCAGTTTGTTGATTTTTTTTTATATGAAGTTTATCGTGCTGGCAAGAGAATAAGCTGTATGTATTCTTTGCAAGTAATAAATTCAACCTCTAATGACTTTTTCCAGTGAGCATGTAGCGTGTGAATGACGATGAAATTACTCAGCGAAAATTGGGGGAAGAGTGCTGGTTGAGAAAGGATGAGAGTAGAGAGAGAGAGAGAGAGAGAGAGAATGATTCTTACGATATCTGTATTTATTTAGTTTTTAAGAAAC